GAGGCAGTATCACTACAGAAGTAGATTGCCCCATCTTCCCTCCGAGGAGTGGCTGGTGGGTTTGAACCGCCAGCCTTCTGGTTAGCAGTCAAGTGCCTTAGGCACTACGCCACCAGAGCTCTTCAAGGAGATATACTTGTTCTTCAGCAGTTTAAAGAGATCTTTCGCAGCAGATCTGCCCAGTGTGATATGTTGTCTGATTTCTTGACTGCGGCTTCCATGGCTATTGATTGTGGAACCAAGTAATATGAAATCTTTGACAACTTCAGTCATTTATCGTGGTGCTGCTTATTGGTCCAATTGTGAGCATTTTTGTTTTCTTTATGTTGAGGCATACTTGTGTGCTTTGGTTTGGTCTGTTGCCATCATACTACAGACTGTAGTCTTTAGTCTTCATCAGTAAATGCTTCAAGTCATCTTCATTTTCAGCAAACAAAATTGTGTCATCTGCGTATGGCAGTTTGGAGTCTTCCTCCAAACTGATGCCACGTTCTTCTTCATATAGTCCAGCTTCTCGGATTATTTGCTCGGCATACAGATTGAACAAGTGTGGGGAAAAGAAACAACCCTGACACATTCCCTTCCTGATTTTAAACCTTGCAGTGTCCCCTTGTTCTGTTCGAACGACAGCCTCCTGGTCCATGTACAGGTTCCTCATGAACACAGTTAAGTGTTCTGGAACTCCCATTCTTCTCAATGTTGTCCATAATTTGTTATGATCCACACAATTGAATGCTTTTCCGTAGTCAATAAAGCACAAGTAGACATCTTTCTGGTATTCTTTGCTTTCATCAAAAGAGTCCTGCGCTTTTAGTAGTTTGTTTTGTTTTAATCCTGTTTCTGTTGGGGTTTGCTATTTGTTGTTGTTGTTATTTGCCATCGAGTCAGCCCTGACTCATAGCGACCCCTCCTTGGGTTTCCGAAGCAGTATCACTACGGAAGTAGGATTGCCCAACTATACTGTTATGCTAACCTTTAAAACTTGGAGGTTTCCCATCTTTCTCTGTGCGTGTAGATCAGCTTAAATGGCAACAGAATACAGCCTCCCCCCTTTTCAGTTACTTGGACTTGCACTTTCTTGAGGGCCCCTGACAACTTTCTCAATTTCTGCACAGTTATTTGAAGAAATATTTAGGTTTCTTTTCTCTGTTCTTGGATTAACTTGCTAATTTCTATTTTACCTAGATAATCAACCCACCCCAGGCAGGTCGAGAAAGTTATTATCACAGTGTTAACTTGATTTTTCTATATATCTCCAGTGATTTTTTTTTTTTCTTAAACTGTGATTCAGGTGAGTCTTTTTTATTCTTAATTATCACGTCCATGTGTTTGTTCCTTTTTCGAAGAGACTCAGTGTCCTAGGTGAGTATTTATTTTGTTGTTGTTGTTGCTGTTATGTGCTGTCGAGTCGTCTCCAACTCATAGCGACCTCTCCTTTGGGGCGGTATGACTATGGGAGTAGATTGCCCAACCTTCCTTCCGAGCAGTGGCTGGTGGGTTTGAACTGCCAGCCTTCTGGTTAGCAGTCAAGTGCCTTAGGCACTACGCCACCAGAGCTCCTGAGTATTAGTGGTTTGATTTCCACCATCAGTTTTTCTTTTCCCTTTTCTAACTCAAACTTTCTAAACACTATCTCTTTGTAAGAAAATTAGAGTTAACAGAACACGTCAGAGAAACTGTCTTTAAGTGGAGGATGCTGTGGACAGTGTGCTGTGCCGCGATGGTTTTCCTGACGGAACGTCAGTCATGGGCTTTTTGAATACCTCTAATGAACAGCTACGGGACATAAGCTGAGCATTGTGTTACATCTCACTTTTGCTAGCGGGTACTGCTTTTCTTTCCTATCCGCAGCAGTCCTGTCATTAAGCCAAAGCATCCTACGCACCCTCAACGCCTGGGCAGTGGGTGATAAAGATGCTCACAGCTTCCTGTCAGAAACTGGTACGGCTCTGCAGTGGCCCAGAGCTAGTTGCCTCAGTCAGTGCCAACCAGTTATGGGCTTGGTGAGGAGATCACATGTGCTCCTAACTGAGGGACTGTTACCCAGGCTTACCCAGCGCTTTCTCTCTCTTTCCCTCCACCTTTTTCTGTGAGATGCTTTATTTCTAATTGAAAAGGTTTAGGGTTAAGCAAAGCGTATTCCTGTCAACCCACTTCCCCAAGGATCGAGTTCTGATGTCCAGTGTTTTGTAATCTAGGAGGGAGTTTTTCCATCTATGGAGGTTTGCTTTCCTTTCTGCTGCTTTCATCTTTCTACAATGTCATTAATATTACTTCACTTTTTAGAATTTGACATTTTAATTCCCTCACACTCATGCGGCTTTCACGTGGGTGTGTGTACCATGTGTTGATACACTCAAGCGGCCCCTTTCTACCTTGGGGACATTTGGTTCTTGAGGATGTTTTGAACGCATGACTGTAGTCCCTGTCACACCAGCAATGAATTTCCTTCCAGAAAGCATTTTCTACAGGAAGCCCATCAGGCCAAGCAGTGGAGCGGGTCAGTGCTCAGCCCGCTGTTTGGGAGGCAGTGGCCGAGGTTTCTAGAATCCAGAACAGAGGACCTGAGGGAGCACCGAGGTCTGCTGTGGGAGATGGAGCTCCGCGGCAGCCGTCCAGATCCAGTCCTGGGTCGGACGGAAGACGCGGTTTTGGGTCCTCGCCTGAAAAGTTAGCAGAATGTAAATTGGCAGCTGGCTGGTGTTTTTTGAAATCTTATTTCCAGAAGAAAAAAAAAAAAAAAGCTTAAAAAGCAAAGACCTGTAATTCTAAGTATTGACCTAAGGCACACCAATAGGAGTGAGACCTGCAACAGTAGTAGTTTAGATTGGTTTTAAGACGCATTTCTCTAATGACCTGTGAGGTTGGGCACCTGTTCATGTGTTCATTAGCCATTTGAATATCCTCTCTTGGGAAGTGTCTCTTCACATCTTGCCCATTTTTCTATTAGGTTGTCTGTCTTTTTCTTAGTGACTTGTAGGAACTCTTTAAAATTCTCCATATAAGTCCTTTGTCAGAGATATGTATTGTAAAACTCTTTGCGCACTCTGGACTGTGTTTTTTCTGTTATTGGTGTCTTGTGAAGCAAAAGTTGTTCATTTTAATATAATTTGTTTTATCAGTGTTTTTTTTTTTTTTTTTTTCCCATTTTGTGTAGTGGTTTGGAGTCATGATAAGACATCTTAGCCTACTTTAAGGTCATGAGTTTGTTTTCCTTTTCCAAAAGTTTTCCATTGGTTAGTTTGTCTATCCTTAATTTGACCTTGTATTGTATTATGGTTTTGTTCATGTATGTTACTTGCCCTGACTAGGGTTCTTTTCCATGACTGAGAGTCACAAACTCGATTTTAAAAGATTGCAGAAAGATAAAGAAGTTCCAATTTTTAAAAGTCAGGTTAGCATGAATGTAATGTTGATTACTGATTGATCTTTTCATGATAGCATTTGGTACCAAACATGGTGTTTTTGGTACATAATTGTTTAGTTAACATGCTGTTGTCTGTTACAAGCTTCTAAAAGCACATCCCGCCTATGTTAGCATCAGTTTTAAAAGCTGCTCAGTATGAAATCCTCTAGCTACTCTCAGTTTTTCCTGCTCCATTTCATTGTTGCTGTGGTTGGAGAAAACCATGTGTTCTCATTATCTCTAGCTGTTATTTGTTATCTGTATTGGGCCTGTGGTGAACCAAAATTATACCTTATCAAGATGGTGAGGGTTAAAGTTGGCAAGTTGATAATGTAGACTTCAGGAAATTAAACTGGATGTTTTGGTTGACAGCTCTAGTTCCCAGTTCTCCCCTCCTTCCTTATATAGGTTTAAACTCCGTTCCCTTTGCAGTGAGATTTGGCAGTGCCTCCCGCTTGAGTAGACATAGTTGATTTCCCTGCTGCGTTGATTTGGACTTGGCCGCGTGATTCGATTTGTCCATTGGAATGGTTAGTACATGTTGCATGACCAGAAGCTTTAGGCGTCCTTGTGTGCTTTGGAGAACATGCCCCTGCCAGCTGCTCCGAGGAAGATGCCAGGACACATGGACATGGAGCCGGCCTGAAGCCCAGCTAGTCCCAGGAGTCCGGCAGACCACACCTTGCCTGCAGACTTGTGAGCAGGAACTAAATGCTCATGGTTGCAGGCCACTGAGTCGTGGTGCTGTAGGTCAGGCGAGATTATCGTCCTCAAGCTGACTGATGAAAACGGGCCAGTGCGTTTGCTCTTTGCTGTTTAGTTGTGGTGAAAACACACACAGCAAAAGCCACGTCATCATGACAGTTTGCCTGTGGACAGTGCGGTGACGTTAATTACATTCTGCAGCTGTGGGTCGTTCCTGGTGACCTTTCTGAATCATTCCACCGCCATTCACAAAACCCCGTGTCCTCTACGCAGAAAGCCCCTCCTCTGGTAACCGCGGTTACCCTTGGTTTCTCTGTTTGGTTATCTCACATAGGAGAGATTCACAGTGGTCCTCCTTTTGCGACCGAGTTCTTGCAGTCGGTAGGATGTTTCCAAGGGTCGCCCGTGTGGCGGCGCGCAGCAGGACCTGGTTTCTCTCCGTGACTGAGTCGTGTTCCACTCTGTGTATGTATAGGCCGTGTTTGGTTTAACCACAGCGAGTCGCTCAGTCTCGGGCGTGGAAAGTTTGAGAAGTCTGAAACGTGGCCATGGGATAGTGGGGGCTGAGGCTCGGGGCATGAATCGAGAAATCCTCACCCTGTAGGTGGATTTAAACCCAACAGAAGACTGCGTGGATGGGGAAGTCAAGGGGTCCCCAGGCTGAGGCCTCGGGCACTGGCGTATTTTGAGGTGCGGGAGGGGGAGCAGCTAGTAAACCGAGAAGGAACTCCTGGCAGAATACGAGGGAAACTGGTCTAGCCCCAGGATCTGAAAGCCCACAAGGGGACAGCGTTTCAGGGACGCAAGGGTAACTCTGACCTCCTGCTAACATGCTGACATCTCTCCTGTTTGCTTCCTGACCAGGGGTGCCCTCTCTTCAGCTAGAAACATGACACTCTCCAGAGACTTGAAACTGCTTCTATGGAAGAATTTCATCTTGAAGGTAGGTCCAGTTTCCTGTGGGGAAATGTGAGTGCTTGGGAGGAATGAAGCCCTGGTGGCACAGTGGTTAAAGTGCTCAGCTGCACCCCGACCCGTTGGTGGTCCAATCTATCAGCTGCTTGCTGGGAGAAAGATGTGGCAGTTGATTTCCCCAAGGATTATCAGCTGGGAAACCCTATAATACAAAGCAACGCAATGCAGTGCTGTGGAGTTGGGTGCAACTCATAGCGACCCCTCCTTGGGTTTCTGAGGCAGTATCTCTATGGAAGTAGATTGCCCAGTCTTCCTTCTGAGTTTGAACCGCCAGCCTTCTGGTTAGCAGTCAAATGCCTCAGAAACTACGCCACCAGAGCTCACTGGAACCCTGTAGTGCAGTTCCACTCGTCCTCCAGGGGCACTGTGAGACAGGATGTATACGTTACATTGGTTTCCAACATTGGGGTAAAGAAAAAATAGGACCTTAGCTTGTGAATGGGAGCTTTTCTGCCAACCAGCCATTGTTAGCCGCAACTGTTCAAGGTGACGCCACCGTTCCTGACGGCTCCCCACTGGTGTTAACAGAAAAGCTAAAAGGAGGTGTTTGCAATGAATTTTCTTTCTGTTTCCATCTTTTTCATGCATCGTGCAGGGAGCCTGGGCAGATGTGAGGGGTTCTTCCCCGAGGAGACCTCACCACATGGATCGTTTCACTCGCATTCTGTCGCCTAACATCTCGCTTTTGTTTCTCACTGTAGAAGCGGAAGCCTCTGGTTACACTTCTCGAAATCTTGATGCCGTTACTGTTTTCGACAGTGGTAATGTATCTTCGTTACAATAGTTTGCCAATAAAAAGACCCCCTTCTCACTACCATGCGATTGACATCAGCGCCCTGCCTGGGTTCTTCTATCGTTACCCTCTGAAAAGTAAGTTCCAGCTTGTGTACATCCCTTCCAGAAGTGAGACTTTGAAGAAAATCACTGAACGGATGGGGCAAAGCTTCGATGTTGATTTTGAAGGTCAGCTGTAAAGATGGGGCAGGGGTGGGGCTGGGGGGCGGGGCAGGGGCCTGGTTTTGAATGTTTTTTCTGAGTGGTTCCCAGAGTGATTGCACATCCTGGGTCTTCAGGTCCTAAAGAGGCGATAAAGTAAACCAGGTCCTTCCTCGGGGCCCAGCACGTTCCGTGGGGCTGGCCCTGCTTCCGTCTCCCGTCATACCCAGCTTCACTGTTCCCTGTCCTCACATGCTCTGGTCTCCTTGGTCACCTTCCAGTTTCTAGAACTGGTACAGCTATTTCCTGCCCCAGGGCCTTTGCACCAACGGCTCCGGACAGAATGGTCCTTCCCATGGGTTGCTCCTTCTAATCCTTCAGGTTTCAGCTGCAGTGGGACCCAGGCAGGCAGCTGCATTGGTTTCAGGTTTCTCACTCCTGCCTGGTTCTTTCCCATGGCACGTTTGCTACCGTCATCATGTTTGTACATGTTTAACACACGTTCCTTGGCTTCTGCTTGTCATCTGCCTTTCCCCACTCGAGTCCACCTCCCCAGGGCAGAGAGCTGGGACTGTTAGAGTGCCTGGCACATAGCAGGTACCCAGTAAATATGAAGTGAATGAATGAATACAATTTGGTAGATAAATTTTCCCAAACGTGGAGTCCATGAGGGGAATTGTTTCAACATGACTATATTATAAAGATAGACGATTGTAAAATGTTTAATAGAACAGAAGGGTTCAGGGTGAAAAGCCAGTGTCCTTTGCCAGCTCAGGTACCACTCCTGGGGCAGTTCTGACCGAAAGGCCCTCAGTGGTAAGATGTTTGCAAAGTGTGCTTCACACTTGCCTAGTAGCCTCAAGCACTCTTCCAGCTCGGTTACTTTATAAACACGAGATTACGAGATTAAAGGGAGAACAAGTGGCACAGTGGTTAAGCACTTGGCTGCTGATCAAAAGATTGGTGGTATCAGCTGCTCTGGGGGAAAACGATGTGGCAGTCTGCTTCCTTAAAGATTACAGGCTTGGAAACCCCCTGGGAGAGTTCTGCTCTGCCCTGGAGGGTTGCTGTGGGTCAGAATTGACTTGACCAAAAAAAAAAAAAAAGAATTGACTTGACAGCAACAGGTGTTAGGAAATTAAAAAAAAAAAAATGAGACATCCTCTGCAAGGAAATGATACGCAAACCCACACCCACTGCCATGGAGTGGATTCTGACTCACAGCGCCCTTAGAGGACAGAGTGGAACTGCCCCACAGGGTCTCCAAGGCTGTCAGTCTTCAGGGAAGCAAAGCCCAAACCACACCCACTGCCTGGAGTCCATTCCGACCCACAGTGCCCCTAGAGGACAGAGTGGAACTGCCCACAGGGTCTCCCAGGCTGTCAATCACATGGAAGCAAAGCCCAAACCACACCCACTGCCAGCAAGTTGATTATAGCTCACAGCATCCCTACAGGACAGAGTGGAACTGCCCCACACGGTGTCCAAGGCTGTCAGTCTTCACAGAAGCAGACTGCCTCATCTTTCTCCCATGCAGCGGTTGGTGGGTTTGAACCTCTGACCTTTTGGTTAGCAGCCCAGTGCTTTACCCACTGTGCCACCAGAGCTTCTTCAGAAGATGGTAGTTGGTTGAGATGGGGATGATCACACAGGGCCATGTAAGATGGAAGGGGGTGGGGTTCAGGAATTGGGGGCTGTCTAGGCAGGGAGAGAAGCAGGTGGCAGGCCCAGAGGACCTGAACCCGGTCAGATGAGACTGAAGCAGGCTGTGTTGGGAGTGGGTGGAGGTGAGGTTTGAAGTGTCGGTGGGAGCCTCCCAGTTGAAGCATTTGGGCTGCTTCTGTAGGCAACAGGCAGCCCCTGGTGGGGTCCAAGAAGCGAAGCTGTGGGGTACAATTTATTTCAAAAGAGTTTCTTTGGCTGTTCTGAGATGGGATTGGAGGGGGGAGTATCTGGAGAAATTCGGGAGCCAGGTGACGGCTTGAGCTGTGGCATGGAGGCCGGTAGATGCCGGGATAACTGCAGCGCTCCCTCAGAAGCCCTCCTGCCCCATGTGGCCCTTCGTCAGTCATTCGCCTCTTGCTTTCCCTGTGCACGCACGATGCCCTCCAGGCTGACAAAGGGGACTTACCTTCAGAGAAGCTTCAGTCGCCTTCATTTTTCAAGAAAACATTTCCTTTTCCATCTTCCCTTTAAGGTCCTACCCAGGCAGATTCCCTCCCATTAGTGTCTTGAAACTTTATTGCCATCTTATTACTTCCCAAGGAGCTCTGGTGGTGCAAGAGTTAAGGCATTTGGCTGCTAACCAAAAGGTGGGTGGATCAACTCCATCAGTTGCTCCATGGGAGAACAGTGAGGCAATCCGCTTCCACACAGCCTTGGAGACCCTGTGGAGCAGTTCCATTCCGTCCTCTAGGGGCGCTGTGGGTCAGAATGGACTCCACGGCAGTGGGTGTGGTTTGGGCTTTGCTGCTGTGAAGATTGACAGCCTTGGAGACCCTGTGGGCAGTTCCACTCTGTCCTCTAGGGGCGCTGTGGGTCGGAATGGACTCCAGGCAGTGGGTGTGGTTTGAGCTTTGCTTCCGTGAAGATTGACAGCCTTGGAGACCCTGTGGGCAGTTCCACTCTGTCCTCTAGGGGTGGGATGAACTCGAAGGCGGTGTGTTTTTAATCTTACGGGAGCAGACCCCAGGAGCCACAGGGTGGGTTCAAACTGCCACGCTTGTGGTTAGCAGCTGAGCACTTAGTCATTGTGCCACCAGGGCTCCTTTGTCTGGTATTGGGTGTTCCTAAAGAGAACATGACTTCACTCATGGTCTCTGTTACTTCTTTTCTGCTGTTTACCATTAGTTATAGTTTCATGGCCTTGTGAGGCATAGAGGGAAAGAAGACAAAGTCAAAGGTCATTCAAGGTGAAATAGTGGACCATCTTCTCATAAAGCTGGGACTCCTGATACCTATACCTCAGTGTAGATAGAACTGGGAATAAACATTCCCACTCCCACCTCCAAGGGACTGCAAGGAATGTGGTCTTGGAACTGAGAGGAGCTGAGAAGGGGGAGCCCATCCCTGAGATATGGTACTCAAATTCATATCACCAGCTTGTCCCCCAAAAAAAGAGAAAGAAAACCCTTCAAACTGTGAACTGGGGCTCCAACTGGCAGGTACAACTGTAACCTCCATAGGAACCTGCCTTCATTCCATGTCTCAGAGAAACCCACCACAAACGTATCATAAAGTCAGTGAGCGGCACACAACCAAAACTAGTCAAATACAGGAAACAAGAGAAGGGTGACAGTATAGACAACAGACAGCAAAAATCGAACTGTGAACACTTCAGGTCACAGCATTAGTTGTTGTTGTTGTTAGGTGCCTTCAAGTTGTCTGCAACGCATAGTGACCCTACGCAGAATGGAACATTTCCCGGTCCTGTAACCAGCTTCACGATCCTTGCTCTACCTGAAACCATCATTGCAGCCACTGTGTCGGTCCATCTCATTGAGGGCCTTCCTCTTCATTGACCCTCGACTTTAACAAGCATGGTATCCTTCTGACAACAGGACCAAAATGGGTGAGACTAAGTCTGGCCATTCTCACTTCCAAGGAGCATTCCAGATGCACTTCCTCCAACAAATTTGTTAGTCCTTTTAGCAGACCATGGTATGCTTAGCATTCTTCTCCAACACCACAACTCAAAAGCATCAATTCTTCGTTCTTCCTTATTCATTGTCCAGCTCTTACATGCATAAGAGGCGATCAAAAATACAATGACTTGAGTTAGGCACACCTTAGTCGTCAAGGAGACATCTTTGCTCTTCATCAATTGAAATAGGTCTTTTGCAGCAGATTTGCCCAATGCAATATGTCATCTGATGTTTTGACTGCTGCTTCCATTACTGTTGACTGTAAAACTAAGTAATGTGAAATCCTTGACAACTTCAGTCTTTTCTCCATTTATTGTGGAGCTGTTTATTGGACATATTGTGAAGATTTTTGTTTTCTTTGTATTGAGGTGTAATTCACACTGGAGACTGTAGTCTTTAATCTTCATCAGTAAGTGGTTCAAAGCATCCTCACTTTCAGCAAGCAAAGTTGTGTCATCTATGTATCAGGGGTTGTTCATGACTCTTCCTCCAATCCTGATGCCACATTCTTCTTCATATAGTCCAGCTTCTTGGATTATTTGCTCAGCATACAAGATGAATAAGTATGGGGATAGGATACAGCCTTGACACACTCCCTTCTTGATTTTGAACCATGCAGTATCCCCTTGTTCTGTTCGAACAACAGTCTCCTGATCTATGTACAGGTTTCTCATGAGTACAATCAAGGGTTCTGGAATTCCCATTCTTCTCAATGTTATTCGTAATTTGTCATGATCCACACAATCAAATGCTTTTGCATAGTCAATAAAACACAAGTAAACATCTTTCTGGTATTCTTTGCCTTGAGCCAAGATCCATCTGACAACAGCTATGATATCGTTTGTTCCACATCCTCTTATGAATCCAGCTTGCATTTCTGGAAGGTCTGTCAGTATACTGCTGCAACCATTTTTGAATTATCTTTAGTAAGATTTTACTTGTGTGTGATATTAATTGTATTGTTCGCTAATTTCCACATTCTGTGGGATCACCTTTCTTTGGAATGGGTACAAACATGGATCTCTTCCAGTCAGTTGGCCAGGTAGCTGTCTTCCAAATCTCTTGGCATAGCTGAGTGAGTACTTCCAGCAGGGCATCTGTTTGTTGAAATATCTCAGTGGGTATTCCGTTAATTCCTGGAGCCTTGTTCTTCACCAATTCTTTTAGTGCAGCTTCAACTTCTTCCTTCAGTACCATTGGTTCTCGATCACATGCCACCTCCTGAAATGGACGAACATCGACCAATTCTTTTTTGTACAGTGACTCTGTGTATTACTTCCATCTTCTTTTGATGTTTCCTGCATCATTCAATATATTGCCCATGTTGTTGTTGTTGTTGTTATGTACCGTCGAGTTGGACCCGACTCATAGTGACCCCTCCTT